GGGGGGGTAGGGTTTTTTGGGGGGCTTGGGGAGCATTTTTTGTTTGTAATACACCAAAAAAATAAAAAATTCAGAAAGAATGCGAAAAATTCGATAGGATTCGATACTTGACACTCTCTCTCAGCTTGGACTGTCCACACGAAAAACGGTCTCAAACTCGAGAAACTGGAAAAAACGGCCTTTTCTCCAGCTCCCCAGTCATAATTTACACCCTGGTCACTTAACAGGTTAGATCGTTAAGCAGTATACAAGGTGTAACAACTAAGTGACGACAAACTTCCAGGGGTTGTTCCCTGGCTCAAACCAAGCAGAAAAGTCCCGTACCAAAATCCTCTACGATGCGTGGTTCTCGAGTTTCGGGGAGTTCAATTTTTGAATAAAATACCGCACGTGTTCAGATATGACGTCACAGTGGCTGTCCTAGGTAATTGTCGGAACCGAAAAAAATTGTGGTTTCGTAAAGTGCTCATCAATAGCTTAACAAATGGTATTTTCGTTTTTTTTTTTCGTAAAACCCCTCTTAATGGAGTTATTGACCGTAAAAAAAAATACCGTATTACCGCACGTCGCAAATAAAGTTGGTCAGGACGTACGGTAAAACGGTATTTTTTTTAACGGTCAATAACTCCACTAGGTTTTATTGAAGAAATACCAGAGGGTGGTTCGGATGTGTATGCAGAAGGCAGATATAAGGCCCTTATTTAATTTTTTAACTGTAATGCCATGTATTTTAGTACTAAGTATACAGTTTGTATATGATTGTTCAGAATGAAGTGACTTGTTTAATAATGAAAGGAATAAATGAATGAATAATTATAATTAAAAAAAATTTAAAAATATATCTCCATTAGAGGGGGTTTTACGAAAAAAAAAAAAACGAAAAAACCTTTTGTTAAGCTATTGATGTAAATTGTGACTGGAGAGCTGGAGAAAAGGCCGTTTTTTCCAGTTTCTCGAGTTTGAGACCGTTTTTCGTGTGGACAGTCCAAGCTGAGAGAGAGTGTCAAGTATCGAATCCTATCGAATTTTTCGCATTCTTTCTGAATTT